GAAAATTAGATTAATTAGAAACACTAAAAAGAATAGGGTAACCTTGGGCACATAACCAGGGAAGAACTTTCATTCAGTCCCTAGCAATGGCGCCAAAATTTGTTGTTAATATTATGTAAACTCGCAATTGTATGGGGCAATTAGTAGTATAGCAAGACAAGTACAAGGTCGTATCCACGAAGACTGAGAAGTTAAAACTAGTTATGTACTTAGATTACCAAATTCAAGAAAGTAGGAGGTTATGTCTAAAACAGAATTTAAAGCAAGAGTGGTTGTGATCATTTTTGGCCCAGTAACGCAGATGCTGCCGAATTTGACCTTAAGCTGCCAAAACGTGCATAATTTTCTCTAGAAGACTCGGAATCATGAACCGTAAAATTCTCCAGAAACTAGACTTCCGTATCTTTCCAATGACGTATGGCTTGTTATCTGGTTCTTCTTGAGCAAGTACAGTCCAATCCGTGAAGTTGACTGATCTGCAAACACCGTTTTGAGCTAACTTGTCTCCAAAATGCATTTAATGAATCTCAAGCTTATTACACTAAAACAAATACAAAACTTATTAAAAGCACAAGTTTAACTCAAAAACATAACCAAATCATAAGTTAGAAGGATACAAAATGATATGTAATTATGCACTGATCATATGTCCAGTTAAAGATCTAGCTTAATTATTGTGTTATACGAAGAAATTATTGGAAGTTGATAAATATAAGATTATTCCTCAAGATAAATTTGGAAGAGGGTGAATTGACTTGTTTCTCTTCTATATACTAGGGATACAATTTCAACAACCAAATGGCAAAATTCCAATATGCAATTTTGTTCCTTTTAATGAAACTACCTCAACCATCAAAACATCATTACAAATTCCACATAATCAAAACATCAAACATAAGTTCAAGTCTAATTGTATCCAAAAACGACATAATCTGCCTTAAACCGCCAAGGACCCCATATTCTGCCCTTTTTTCACTTTAAGGGTAAGAAAAAGGGTCTAACAAAATGCATGTGTTGTTGTGCTTTCTTCCTCTTGCTTTTGTGACTTGCCTCTCTAGAGGGTACTTGTGATTGAGCAACTCCTTGGGATTGAGCAATTGTTGTTGCTTTCCTTTTCCTTAGATTCATAGTATGATTCTCAATAGCTTGTTCTTTATTATCTCTCCTTCCCACCTTAAACAAAACTTCACAATTGAGGAGCCAAATATGGATATTAATGAGCATTTAATAAGAATATGAATGAGCAGTTTATAGGAAGCTTTGCCCTAGTTGCATTCTTCTTCTTCTTAGGAGGCTTTAAATTTGGGTTCTTAGGTTCCTGAAAAATAGACATCATGCAGTTCGTAAGAAATAAATACTTTAGAAAACACAAAGGTTTTAAGAACAAATAGATATCATACATTACAACCTTGCCTATTATGGCCTTCGCCCCCCATAGTTGGCATATTTTACAGAATTTCCATACTTAGGAAGCTTATATGGATTCAAAGGTTTTTTAGTCTCATCAACACCTTTTTTCCTAAACATCATCACGCCACGTGGAGTCTACATCACCAAACTTAACGATTCTTCGCACAAAATAGACGAAATAGGGTAACATAACTTGTGGAAATAAAGCTCATGAGGTATACGTGGTTATCTTAAAGTTCAAGGGACAAACTAAGACAAAATTAAAAACATAAGGGACATTTCAAAAAATAAGCCTTTTTAGAAGAAAAAAAAAAAAAAAAAAAAAAAAACATAAGTTATGGGTCAAGTTGCATTCAAGGTTCAACAATGTGCCCATAATGAGCAATTTTCACTCAAACTTAATTATGTTTGGAAATTATGTTTCTTGCATGTCAAATCTTGAGATGAAGTAAAGTTTCCCGATTGGATATGAGTTGGAAACTTCATTCATATAACGAGTCGTTTTTTAAGCAATTCTAAGACTTATCATTTTTGGTAAATTTCACTTTATTACCTACAAATTTCCCGAAATTATAACTTTTCTACCTAAAGGTTTTTTACGTATCAACTTTGTACCCAAAGTTTGGCTTTTCTACCATTTTCATACATCCGTCAGTTATTCCGTCAAATGCTCTGTTAAATGATGACGTGGCAATCAATGGCCCCACTTGGATTCACTTATATTGTGCCACATGAACTAAAAAAAATTAACTATTAAAAATTGAAAAACAAGTAAAATAATTTTTTTCTCCATCGCTCCCAAGCCACAACCCAGTGCCTGCGAAATCAGATCCGCACCATTACCACTAGCCACTCTGTTTTTTTTTTTTTTTATAAATAAAAAAATTCTCATAATAGAAGAAGAAAAAAGAAGAGATTGTTAAGAATGATAAGGGTTCTGAAGATCAGGTAGTACTCTAATGTCCTCAAAGGGTGACTTCATTAGTGGTTGAGTTTGGGAAAAAAATTGTTGAATTTGGGGAGGAAAAGAAGAGGTTGGGTGTGCTGAGAATTTTTGGGAATGGGGTGCGCAGCGAGGGAGAAGGCGCAAGGCATGGGTTGTTTGGGGTTGTCAACCCTTCACGGAGGCCCGGAAGCTCTCGTCGACAACGTCCGTTCCATTCGGTGGGAGGAGAAAGATAGAGGGTGACTGTCGTAGAGACAGAAATTGATTTTTGTAATTATTGTTTTGCTGAACGAAAAGAGAAAAAAAACCAAAAATCATGACTAAAACGAAGAGAGAAAGTATATGGCAGATGGGGCTGCGCTTGGGTTCATCCGAAGTGAGAGAGACGATGAGGAGATGGGGTATTAGGGTTTGGGGAAGAAGGTAGGGGCGGCTGAGAATGGTTTTTTCATTTTAATTTTAATTTTATTTATTTATTTACTTATATTTTGTATTTGTTTTAAAATTTAAAATTTTATTTAATTGTTGATCCACATGGCACAAATTCAGTGGGTCAAAGTCACGTCATCAATTTTAAACTTATTAACCGCCACATCATGGGTTAATAGAAAACATGACGGAAATACTAGATTGATAGTAAAAATAAATATTGTGAACGAAAATGAGAAGAAAAAAACCTTTGTGTAGAAAAGTCTGAATTTCGGGAAACTTACGAATAATAAAGTGAAATTTACCCTATCATTTTTTCTCACTTGCAAATTACAGTACAAATACAAACTTAACTCATTACAATCATCAAAAAAGAAAGGATCCGCAAACTAGTCAAATTGTGAATTGCTTGCAAAGAGAAATGACTCTTTTGAAATACAGAGCCAAGTTTTTTTTTTTCCCAAAACAAAAAAGAAAAAGAAATCGGCAACTTCCTTTTAAACTTAAAAAGGCAATATGAAAAGAAAGAGTAATTCAACCATAAGATGCTTTGTCATTAGAATGTCTTTTTCTGTAGTAATTCTATAAGAGTGTTTTAATCCATAACCAATAAAACAGAGGAGCTTAAGTTCCTAAAAAAATGATGTTGTTTGATGCAAGGAATATCACTTTCCATTCAAAAGGGTCGTTATGGCGAACATTTTTATGGGTGAATCAAATTACAAACTCCCTTGAACAAAACTCATCAGCTGTATTCTGCTTGCAAGTTGCAACTGCCTTTCAAAATTGGTCTTCTTTGTCCTAACAACAACCCCTTACACATTAACTCCCCAAAACAAGGCTTCACAAATCATAATCTTAACGCACAAGCAATTTCCACCCACCAAGCCGCAACAAATATACCCCATCACTATCCAAAACCCTTTTCTTCTTAACATTTCTTACAGAGAAATATTGCATTGGCAGAATATATATATATATATATATATATATATATATATGTATGTATGTATAGATAAAAGAGCATATACACATATAGATTGTGGAGAGAGAGGCATGCATAAAAGTGAGGGCGGCAACAAAAAATCACCAAAAAAAGACAATCTAGCAATTGTTAAAATTAGGACATAACAATATCAATCCAATCCAAGAACTTCTAAACCCTTCTTCTCCCTCAAACCCCATAACCCTTGTTTCTATCTTTTGATCAAGTGCCCTCTCCCTCCCTTGCAACTTTGGTTTCTAATTCAAAGAATTAGAAATCAAGATTTGGGTGCAAGAAATCATGGTTGGGCAGTCAAGAAAATGGATGATACTCGTGGCAGCAACATGGATACAAGCATTTACAGGGACAAACTTTGATTTCTCATCGTATTCTTCTGACTTGAAATCCGTTCTTGGGATATCTCAAGTGCAGCTCAACTATCTCTCTGTGGCCTCAGATATGGGGAAGGCATTGGGTTGGTGTTCCGGGGTTTCTCTCATGTATTTTCCTTTGTGGGCTGTCATGTTCATGGCTGCCTTCATGGGTTTGTTTGGTTATGGCCTCCAATGGTTTGTCATTCAAAGACTCATCACTCCTCCTTATGTTCTGGTTAGCTCTCTTCATTTTTTGTCATATATTTTTCTGGGTTTTTTGCATACATGATAATGTGTTTTCCTTGAAATTTCATTTTTTTTTATTTTGTTGAACTGGGGTTTTTTTTTGTTTTTGTTTTTTTTAATATTCTTCTTCTTCTTCTTTTTATTTTTAAATCTTTATTTTTTGTCTTTTCTTGGGAAGTAAAGGGAAAATTGGCCTAAATTTGGTGAACCTCTAACCTCCACATAGAACTACCACAACCGCAAGTATCAAGGGTGAAGCATTGGTTTCCTTTAGTCTCCTAACAAATTCAACTATAGAAAGAGACAGTTAGCAAATGGTTAGTGAAACAAACAAATCCATCATTCAATCTACCAGCTTCTAAAGAAAAAACTTCAAACCATTTAATAAGGTTGTGGACCCACTGAAGACTTCTACAGTCTCCATGCATATATGAACATAAACAAATTATCTAGAAACCTTTTACCAAAACACTCTAGCTAGAAAGAAAGTGTAAGATAATTAATCAAATTTCTTTTTCTATATTTTAAAAAGATCAATTCATTAAGAAGAATTAATGATGTAAAAATAAAGGATTTTTTTCGATGTCGTAAGGGTGTTATTTGTTTTAGAAGAAAGAAAAAGCTAGCAAAGCTAAATTTGTGATGTAAATAGTGTCTTTGAAAATTGATGGCATTTGCAACAATTTAGTGCCACTCATATTTTATTAATATCCAAAATATACAAAAAGATAACGTTAGAGTAAAGCTTGTCCTATTGTTTTTTCATAACAGAAGCTAGCTTAACTTCATCCATTGCAATTGTTCTAATCTCAATCAAGAAGGTGATCACGGTTAATTTTTCATTTTTGGTTCGGCAGGTATTCATTCTATGCTTGTTGGCTGGATGCAGCATCTGCTGGTTCAACACAGTCTGCTATGTTCTATGCATCAAACACTTCCAAGCGAACCGGGCACTTGCATTGTCCCTCACAATCAGTTTCAATGGGGTAAGTGCAGCTCTCTACACCCTCATTGCCAATGCAATAAACCCAAATGATGACACCATCTACCTCTTCCTCAATGCTCTAGTACCTCTCTTCGCATCCGGTGCTGCTCTCATCCCCGTACTCCGCCAACCCCCGATTCAGTCACTTCGTGCTGATGCCACTCGCCGTGACTCCATCATTTTTCTTTGCCTAATCATCCTAGCTGTGATCACAGGCCTATATCTACTCCTCCTCAACTCCCTATCCTCTGATGTATCGAAAGCTCGGATGCTCTTAGTTGGTGCTCTTTTTCTTCTGATCCTACCTTTGTGTCTGCCTGGCATTGCATATGCTCGTGAGTGGGCTCGTAGGAACTTCCCCTCAAGGTTCCCTTCGGACAACTCATCTACCTTCAATTTGGTTGACCCTGATGATTTTGAGCTCCATAAAGAACTCATTGCAGGAAGTGAAAGCACTAATGCCACAAGTGCCACAAATGCTAATTCGCATGGGTTGATAGACACAGAAGGCTTTTTCAGGTGTTTCGAATGTTTTGGGAAGCTGATGGAGAAAGACAGGTTGACAGTGCTAGGTGAAGAGCACTCAGCTAAGCTGCTTGTACGCCGGTGGGATTTTTGGCTGTACTATGCTGCATATTTTTGTGGGGGAACAATTGGGTTGGTCTATAGCAACAATCTTGGTCAGATTTCACAATCACTTGGATACAGTTCCCTGACTAGTTCTCTAGTCACATTATACTCTTCATGCTCCTTCTTTGGTCGTTTGCTCTCAGCTGCCCCGGAATTCCTGCGTGAGTATGTATCTAGAAAACTAATGCTTTTAACAATTGGAGAATGAGAAAAGCCATATGGAATAAAAGCTAACCTGCCTCTTGGTAATGCAGTAAGATCTATTTTGCAAGAACTGGATGGCTTGCAGTTGCTCTGGTGCCAACACCAATTGCCTTCTTTTTGCTTGCTGTATCAGGCAGTGAGGCAATGCTTCGTGCAGGAACAGGCTTGATTGGGATAAGCTCTGGCTTTGTGTTTTCTGCAGCTGTTTCAATTACATCAGAGCTTTTTGGGCCAAACAGCGCTGGCGTAAACCATAACATCCTCATCACCAACATCCCAATTGGCTCACTCCTATATGGCCTTCTTGCAGCTCTGGTGTATGATTCCAATGAAGGAAGCTCAATAATCGGGGTGAGCTTGTTAAAGGAAGCAACATTGTGCATGGGTAGGTCATGCTATAGGCAGACATTCATATGGTGGGGCTGTATTTCAATAGTAGGGTTAGCTTCAAGCTTATTCCTATTCCTACGGACCAGGACTGCTTACAACCGCTTTGAGAGGAACAGAAATCGAACACAAGTAATGCAATCCTACTCACAGTAGTCCTCCTCTTAGTCTCAAATTCACATATTTTAATGGTAACTTCTAGAAAAGCTTAGAGATGTGTGAGATTTCAATGAGAGTTAAAAACATGACAACATAGATACAAGTGATGAGTATATGCTTGTTTCTCTCACTGGGAAGATAAGGAGATTACATTACATGTAACATAGAACTTAAGATGTCAGAAAGAAAATGTTAGAAAATTTTGTAGATGGGTTCTTATCATCTCTCACACGTCTGTTTTTGTTTTTAACTTTCTTTTGGGGTATGACTTTCTCACTCTAATCCAAGCGTAGCAAATAGATTTGCTTGCACAGCTTTCCATCATGATACTAAAACTGAATACTGTTTACTACTATCTTATCCAAGACCATCAGGAATTAAGGCCCGTTTGGTTCAAGGAGTCAATAGCACAAGTAGTTAAGTGGTTAAAAGAATAGATACTTCAAAGTAAATTTACAAAAATATGTGAACAACGAACAGGAATTCAAGAACCAGGCATGTGATCTAGTTCATCATCTAGCCAAATCCTAACCCTAACCCTTTTCCATGTTCCCTTACTACCTGGGCTAGCCCCAAACCTTATGAACCGATTCAACTTTTACTATCTAAACTATTCCAATGAACAGACTGAGATTGTTTTTGTTCTCTTAAGCTCCTGCTCATTACATTTAAGATTTTAACTAATGTAACATAAACATTCTTATCTAAAGTTGGCTGGGAGACAACTAAATTAGATTTACCATAGACTAAACAGAGAGCCTAGAGTTTTAATATACGGGTGACATCCTCTTTCAGTTACATCAGAATTTAATTCGTGAAAATGCTGTCCTTCAAGCAATGAACCGTGATGGCCACCTAAAACCTCCACGCTAATCAGAAAACAGAGAGCACAATTACTATAGTAGATTATGAGACCTTCAAAAATCATTCCTCGGGTTGTTTGATGCATTTTGAGTAGCAGATCAGTTCAGTGGTAAGAAATTATTAAAGAGGATTGTTATAAAGTATGATACTAAATTGTTTTTTTTTTAGAGGTTTCTAAACAATAATAGATACTCATGTTACTAAAGTATCATGCCAAATGACACCATAACTCCTAGACTGGAACACATGGACTCAAAATCATACAAGTGTCTTCTTATTTAATTTTTTATTTAAACGGCCGCGCAACTATACTATTTAAATATTTACTGGGATCTTTTTTTTTATTTATATATATATATATTTTTTATTTTTAAACTTCTCCTATTTTCGTTTATCGATAAGAGTAGTTTAGAGCATTATCCATTACTATTAGGCCATCACCAGAGTCTCTATTGTCTCATTTTGATTTTTTACTTTTCCAGTTATTACTCGTATAAAGAATTTAGCATTTTCCTATTTAATACTCGTATTATACATGTACGTACTTATTTTCAATAATACTTCGGTTTTTTGTACATGTTTTAAAGACTCGGTAAAATACACATTTTTAAATAGCAAACATTACACAGATTGTACCCGTATGTACGCATTTTTCATGTTTAATACATGTATTTTTTATAAAATTTTCAATAATACACACAAAATTCAAGTATTATACACATAATTTTCACATATTATTGAATAAAAATAATATATATTTAAATATTTAAATAAATTATAGTAAAATATTATATAGTGGCCGAAACTTTTCAGTTGTAACTTGCCAAAATTTTCCGAATAAAACAAGTACATATTTTATTCGTATCTTTCCCGTTCCTTATTTTACTAACTATGAAAGAATTGGAGAAGCTAAGATTATTTCTTACTTGTTGCAAGAAAAATGCATGATGGTGACTTTGCAATCTTTTTGCTAACCAGAACAAATTTCAGACAAAGTTTTATGGGTGTGGTAGTATTTTTCATGTAAACTGTTGTTTGAAAAGTGAAGTAATTATCAAGATCACTCTAACTCAGCATGCAATTCTCTACGAATAATGTGTATAGAAACATAATTTAGTAGCAGTTGAGAGAACGAGCTAGATCAACAAACATTCCCACGAAAAAAAAGAAGAAGAAAAAATTGAACTCTCATATTTATTTACTGTGAAATTTCTTTCTTTTCAATATCTACTTTGGATATGTTGAAACTAGCAACTTAATAATTATAAAGTATAAACTAATGGAAGTAGGCCATAAAATTTGAAAATTTCTAGGGCACCCTTCTTTGCAAACTCTCAAACTAGAAAGCTTATGTTTTGCGTCTAGCGGAATCTATCTCTATTAACTGTCTTTTCCGAGTAGAAGGGTACTTGAAATACACTTAGGCACAGTTTGGCATTGCTGTGCTGTGAAAATAATCGCTGTCAGATTTGCTGTGAGAGAAAGCAGTTTGGCGTTTGGTAAACTTTTTGTTAAGAGAGTTGTTGATACTAATTCCCGCGTAATCAGAAAATGATTCCCGCATAATCATTAAACCTAGCGCCTCTTCGAAACTGATTCCAGCATAATCAGAAAATGAAAGCACCTCATTAGCTGCTTTCCCTTATAGCTTTCTCTCACAGCAATTTTTAATAATAAGTGATTTTTTCATAGTTTACCAAACGGGCTGGGCTTCCTAAATTTTTTTAAAAATCACTTATTACTCCAGATAAGCAATGCCAAACTGGCACTTATAGTGGGACCTAAGAGGGGCAAAGTAAAGGTTTATCAGTGTAATGATTTTCAAAATCACATAAATTCTAGTAAAGATACCCTTATATACAATGAGCCCTAAAACTCCAACAGCCAAGATTATTGCAAGAGGAACTATCAGGGTTGATTAGGTTGAGCAATTGTGCTTTTCATGCTGTTAATTCTTACTGTGGATTTTTAATTTTTTTTTAAATAAATAGTATAGCCGCGCGAAGTATAAGTGTGCCGTTATACTCTTAAAAATGAATAAATAAATAAATAAAAAAAGCGGTCGCCTAGGCACTATTACAAGGGTCCTTTTTTATTTAATTTTTGTTAATAAATAGTACAGTCGCGATGTTATACTGGGGTCTTTTTTCTTAATTTTTTCTAATAAACATTAGCCATGAATATATTTTTAAAATATAATAATAAACAACTCATTAGACGTACACATTTGGGCCTTGTCAGGTTGGCTTCTTCAAGGGCTAAGGACTTGTTTGGTGGGCTGGACTGGATGAGATTTTTTTAATTAAAATGTACATGGGTCTAGTCTGTTGTTTGGTGGGCTTAATCGTATCACACACTGGCGAGGACTTAAATTTTTATTTAGATTTCGAAGACTACCTCGCGTCCTCTCCTCCGCGTCCTCCCCTCAACGTCGTTTCCCTCAGCCACTTCGGGTCGTCTCTGCTCTCTCTCCTCTCCTCTCCTCTCTCATCTGTCATCTCTCTTCTTCTCTCATCTCTTTTCTCTTCTGATTTTTCTTTTTTAAAAACTGATTTCTCTGTTTGTTATCCATATTTTTCTGGGTTAGATATTGAGTGCTGTAGTTTTTTGGGTTTGATTTCTTTTGATACCTTTTATTGAAGATCTTTCAGATCTGTTCCCGTCCAGAATTTGCATATTTCTTTTTTATTTTTTGGAATGTTGTTTTTAGTTTGTATTTTCTATGATCTGAGAGTTATACTGTAGATTTTTTTTTCTTTTGTTTCAAATTACCATTTTGGTTTTTGTCTACAATCTTTTCTCTTATATAATAAAAAAGATAGATTTTCTTATGATAGAAAAAGAATGACCCTTTTTCTTTTTCTGGTAAAAAATATGAATTTTGGGGGTTTACTATTTTGATATTGCTCCAGCGTGGGTTGATTCCTTTATGCTGGATGATCTGCTTGGTATTAGTAGAGCTCGTCTTGCTGGATGATCTGTTGTTGGGGTTTTCCCCTTTTCCTCACCAAAAAAAAAAGTTTGTCTGATAAAAAGAAATTTTAGATTAGTAAAAAAAAATACTGAAAAAAGATGAAGAAAGATTTTGAAGAAAAAAAACGTAAGGCGTTGATACAAAAAGTTGGAGTTTTGCATTTGATTATTGTTAATAAAAAAATAAAATAAAATATTGATTTATTAAAAAAAATGTTAATTTTAGTGTGTTGTTTGGCACAAAAATGAATAGGACTAGACTCTAGTCAGTCCAAGCCAGCCCAATCCAATACTTCAAAGCTCATCCTAATCAGTTCAAGCCAGCCCACCAAACGGGGTCAAGAGTTTTCGTGGAGCCCAAATCAAACTCAATAAGAGCCTAATGGACATTTCACTCAAGTCATCTATATATATAAAGCAATAGGTAGAGAATGGTGAAACATTGAAAATACAAAAAATGCCATTGGTTAATGCAAACATTAAGAAATGAAATTATTAATTAAATGAGAATAATATGGTAAATTCACACTTTTTCATATTAAAAATATTTAAAATAAAAGAAAAATCAGATAATTGATTCTATTTTTATGGAACACAACCATTGGCGAACTCAAATTTTTTAGCAGAGGTGTAATATTGACTAAGTATGAAAAATGATTTTTCGGAATAATTATTTTCTCAAGATAATTTTTGGCTGCTTTTATTCCTCACACATCAAATAAGAAAACTTGATTTTATAAGATTTTAGTATGAAGTATATATTGACTTAATGAGCCATCATTTTTAGCCTAAATCGTATTTTGCACTAAAATCGAATTTTCATATTTTGATTTTGTGGGAATTTGATTTTCTAGTATTTTTATTTAAATCCAAATGGGGGGTACTTCCTTATTTACATTGTAAACTTAAGTAAATTGAGTAATATAAAAATAAAAAAAAAGTAAAAGGACAAAGACATTTACTTAAGTGTTGAAAATAGAAATAAGGTAGTTTGTACACCAATTGAGTAAATGGGCAATTTCAAGCACCTACAATGATTTTTCGGGCGATGGGAGGTGCAGCTGCACCTCCTTGCGTCTTAATAGATCCGCCTCTAAACACAACTATCCATTATCTTTTTTAATTCTAATATAAATTTTAAAATTCTATAAAAAGCCTCTCGCAGGCGCGGAAGCGCTTACGGAAAGACTAGTTTTATATAACAAATATTATAATAGAAATTTATATTTTTCCTTTTCTGTTACAGAAA